AGCAGACCAGCACCATGCAAGACATTTGTAACAATGGTGGACCACCCCGCCCAATCACTTTGATCAATGAGGGGCTGAGGTGGTTTATGGATCTTTTTTGAAGGAGCCATATTAACAACAATGTTGTGTAGGAAACGCCTATTTAAGTGTAACACAATGTTGGAAAGGCCCACAACTAAGTTACAATGCAAGGGAGGCCCAAAAAAAGAAATCCACGAGAGATCAATGCCAATGTTAAGACGTTGAGACGTCGAGATGGATTGAATGGTGATACCGTTTGAGACGAAGAGACGGTCTTGAAACGACGATATCGTTACTAAATATGAAATGTCGATGCCGTTAGTTTGAGACCAAGAGACGGTCTTGAAATGGTGATGTTGTTACTGAATGTGAAATGACGATGACGTTCGTGTGAGGCTGAGAGACGGCTGCCACGGAGGCCACGATGCGGCAAGCACGAAGGCGACAACGAAGAGGCAACAATGCGACGAGGCCAAAATTTGGCAAAAAAGATTAACCTCGCTCTGGTACCATGTTAAAGGAGAGAGAGAGAGTCTTGGAGTAAATTTTCCTTAGATTAAGTATTGAATGTGTGTGTGTGTGTGTGTGTGTGTGTGTGTGTAGGGGGGGAGAGAGAGAGAGATGGAGGAGGGTGATGTGTGCTCTTATAACTGTCGTGAGACTAAACCCACTACTAACAATAATATCAACATGACAGAATAATCATCTATTATTAATTTTACTTCTTTTACTTAATTTCTCCGAAGTTAGGAGGGAATCAGAGGTTAGTTTGCCAGTTTATTAATCAAATGTTGATCGTTAACCTACTAACAAATGATCTTATCCACATCTATTAGTGATTTTATGAATCAAGACTATGCCATACAATCAAAGATTCGTTAATATATTTCAAGAAGTTTACTAGTCAAATTCTTTTTACTTCTTCTCTTGTAGACATTTCCCATCATTTGTTTTTAAAAAAATCAGAATGGACTTATCACATTCTTTGACAATCACACAAAATGCCTTTGAATATTGAATTATACATCAGATGCGTAGCTCTCAATTAAGCAAAATATGTATGTTCTTTATTTTATTTTCTTTTTAAAGAATAGACTTATTCCGTTTTATTAAGAGAAGAAAGTATATGCACATGTTGTGGAGGGGAGAATTTTCAAGTTACAGTAGAAAAGACTAACTATTACATGTAATCGGTGAAAATGTCAAAATTCAAACTTTACTTCGTAGGCAAAATATCAACTATATATAGCTAACCAAGCATTTTTGCATTCTCTCATAGTTTCATTTTTATATAGCTGCCTACATCTACATGTACACACACGTACAAATTATTAGCCTTTTTATCAACCGATAAATAATAATAACAATATTTCTTATTTAATAACTTATTAACAAATCTAAGTTTCCTGCAAGATGCAAAAGTTTTCATAATGTAAAAACCCACACTGAATTCATAACTTCGACTGTGACAAATACACATACAAATCTTTATTGTTGACGTGTGCAAAAAGCACCCCGTACATCATGCTTATTTACTCAATTCAAATCACACCGATGACTAAGCTTTAATTCACCCGCCGGTACATGTATTCCTCCTATTTGAACTGAGCCATGAGTTGCGCCACCACATTATCGCCCACCTGAAACGCCCTCTTCAGCACCTCCTTCGACACCCTCGGGTTCGACCCGAACACCGCGTTCGCAATCGTAATCACCCCTGGATTCTGACTGCTCAGCGCCGACAGGGCAACCGCCGGCGTCTTCCCTAGATTCATCTGGAAGTGAATCATACCAAACGGAAACACAAAGACATCACCCTTCTGCAGAACTTTCTGGAAAAATCGGTTGGCGGGGTTGGACGCGATGAAGCCGACGTGGAGAGTGCCCTCGATGACGGTGAGGACCTCGGTGGCACGAGGGTGCTTGTGGGGAGGGTTGAGGCCACCGTAGGGAGCGTAGTCAATGCGGGCTAGGGAGATGCCGAGCGTGTTGAGGCCTGGGAAGACGTCTGCGGCCACTTGGGTCACGTTGGAGCCGACGCGGTTGTTGGTGTTGCGGCGGACGTCGTTGAGGAGTCCCGGGAAGAAGAAGTCATCGGAGCATACAGTTTTCGGGTCTTTGCACACAAAGCCGTTAACAATTACTGCAACACAAAGAGGAGAGATCATGATTTTTAATCACTCTTGCATAACATTAACAAATTTGATTAGAGTAATGAACTAGCAATTACTTTTACTTTGGAACAAGGGAAAGGACCTAATTGAAGATTGCATACAGCTTAGATTTGCACATGAATTGGATAAGAATATCCGAACTATATATTACACGAAAATTTCTATAGATAGACTGTTGGTAAACAAAATTTGGAACATTTTTCTGTACGTTTAATCCATGCACAAAATAATCACTAACTGAGAAGTTTTACATTTTTTTGTTAGGAGTGAAATTAGCTACTTTCATAAGGTTTGAAAGCTACGTTAATAATTCCGTTAATGATCATAGGCCAGACAAATAGTAAAACAAGTATGTAGATTTATCTAGTATGGAATTGGACGGTTAGAAACAGAATATATTCTGACACTATCCTTAATAAGGGTATAAACTAAATGAGGACAACAAAGAATACATAAACACAATGGTGTAGCCAGGATTATTTTTTGCCCTGGGCGGAAAATAAGGGGATTGTGTCGAGCAAGAGGAAGTACCATGCTTGTTAATGTTATGTCTCTTTAACTCAAAGAGTTTAGTCTGTTTGGCCTTACTGCATAGATTTGAGTTTGTTTGGCCTTGCTGAAAAACTTTATCGGAGCCACATGTAAACTTTTGCTGAAAAACTACTACACGCTATATATATATTTTCATTTTCTTGCCCTGGGCAGCTGCTCAGGGCAAGATGCATGTGGCTCCGCCACTGCATAAACATATTCCCGGGTATGTTTTTTTTTTGTTTGGGGGGTTGGGGGGAATACATAAAACAGAACTTAGAAAAAAAAGATAATATCTATGTTTCTTATTTTGTTATTCTTGCTAGATAAATATAAACATTAATATCTGGTCAGTAGTGTTAATCTTACATAATGATGATGATAATAATAATTAAGAGAATGTAATCAACCTTTTGATTTCGTGTCAGCGACGCAAAAATCCTGCAGAGGGCTAGGATCATAAGCAAATGCTTGGACCAGAGCTAAAGCAAGAATGGTGATTCCTAGAATAACTTGGGAAGCCATCTCAAATCTCCTAAATGAGTACACTTGTTGGATATTGATGAATTTGATTTGTGTGAAAATGCTTTGGAGGAAGGATCAATTTATAGATGATTATAACGCGAAGGAAGGATTAAATTATAACGTTTAGGTGGCCATGAGCTTGAGTATTGGCACGTCTTACTGACCAATTAGTGTGCATTATAAAGTTTTAAGTTGTCCTTGTCTATACGTTTAGTTTCTTCTCTCAAATAACGTCTTCTTAGCATAAATTCAGTAGCCATGTGGACACATAAACTCCATATCTAAATTAGTTACTAATGAATTGGACATTTTATATTAGTGATCCCGTTTGGCAAAGAGTTAAGTAAGAGGGGTTAAAGAGGGGTTAACTCTTAATCTTTCTAAATAGGAGTATTATTAAACCCCTCATTTTGAGGGGTTAACTTATTTTAATCCCTCTAGAGGGGTTAGCTTAACCCTTCTATATTTTTTATGTTTGGCAAATTATGAAATGTTAACTCACTTTAATCCTTGTATAGATTTTTTGTGTTTGACGGGTTAAGAAGGGGTTAAGTCTCCTTAACCTCTCACTTAACCCTTTGCCAAACGGTACCTTATGGTATATTAGGTAGTAGAATATTTAGAGTTAGTTATAATAGGTACAAACTTTATTAAAAAAAATTGAGGAACATCGTACAATGTTAGATTGCACATATGACTTTTCTCATGAGGAGTTTGTGGCCATTTTCTTTTATTCCTTTTAATTCAAAGCTACTAGAGAGTCATTAGAGCAAGTGCATCAAGCTCCCAGTTGGGAGTCCTAGTCAACAAGTTCTCAAGATCTCTCAAGCATTTTAGAATAAAAAATTAAAAAATTAAGCATTGGGAGGCACTCCTTCTTTTATGGAGCTCCAACAAGCTCCTACTTAGGAGCTCCAACAATATAAAAAAAACCCTCTTCTATTTTAATATTTTACCCATTACTTTAAATTATATTTAAACCTCTTGTATTTTATTTCTAACTGTTGGATACGGCCTTCGAGGGAGCGCACATGGTCTTCGAGGTAACCCATGCACGGCTTTCGAGGGAACGCACACGGTCTTCGAGGTAACCCGCGTTCTTCGAGGTTGGGCACGAAGTTCGAGGTATCACAAACTTTGACCGTCAACCAACTGATTCCTATAAAATTCAATGCCTTCACTCCTCAACCCATCATCTCCCAGAACAAAATGTCTAGCTCATCTAGCTCTAGCGATGATGAAATGATGAAGACATTCTTTCTTATGGGAGCTGTTGTCGTTGAGGAAGAAGAACAAGAGAAATGTTCAACTTCAGTTCAACACAAAAAACGTATCGTGCTCCATCAAAACCGACTAGAAGGCCACAATCGGTTGTTCCAAGATTATTTTACTGACGCACCAACCTATCCTCTTCATTATTTTCATCAAAGATTCAGAATGACGCGTTCGTTATTCCTTCAAATCCACGACGCAGTCGTCGAACATTACAAGTACTTCGTCCAAAAGAGGAATGGTGCTGGACAGTTAGGACTATCTAGTCTTTAAAAGATTACTGCAACTATGCGAATGCTCGCATAAGGAGCATCCGCTGACGACTACGTTCGGATCGGTAAAAGTACGTCGCTTGAGAGCGTGAAGAGGTTTGTTCGATTGATTATCAACATCTTTGGAGAGGAATACATTCGTTCACCGACTAATGAAGACGTTGCACGCCTGCTCGAGGAAGGTTCACAACGAGGTTTTTCTGGTATGCATGGGAGCATCGACTGCATGCACTGGACATGGAAGAACTGTCCAACTGTCTGGCAAGGTATGTATACTGGACATTTTCATGAACCTACAATTATTTTGGAGGCCGTAGCTAGTAAAGATCTTTGGATATGGCATGCCTTCTTTAGACTGTCGGGGTCTCACAATGAGCTTAATGTTCTACATCGTTCGTCGATTTTCACACAACTTGTGGAGGGAAGAGCTTCACCGTGCAACTATACTATCAATGGCCACGAGTATAATATGGGATACTATCTCGCCGACGGGATTTACCCAGAGTGGTCCACATTAGTGAAGACTATTCCAGCACCTCGAGGAAACAAGCATAAGTACTTTGCTCAACAACATGAAAGCGCAAGAAAAGATGTTGAGCGAGCTTTTGGCGTGTTGCAAGCTCGATTTGCGATTGTTCGTGGACCAGGACGTTTCTGGCAACCTTGTATGCTGAAAGACATCATGAAAGCTTGTATTAAAATGCATAACATGATTGTTGAAGATGAACGAGATTGTCAATTGGACAATAACTTCGACTTTACTGATTCGGTACCAGTCGTTGAACCTTCTCATGTGCAGACGGTGCCTCTAACTGAGTTCATCCAAAATCATCATCGGATCAGGAACACGCAAACACACAAATCACTAAAAAATGATTTGATCAAGCATCTGTGGCAGCTCAAGGGATCCATCGCCGAGGATTAAGTTTCTTTATGTCTAATATAATTTCAGAAAAGGGTTCAAGTTGTTGTACTATGCAAATTTTATTTTCAATAAAGTAGTTGTTTTCATTTAATGCCGAATTTTTTCAACTTCAAGTACAATCATAAATCTAATACAAGATAATATTTGATAATTAGGAAGAACTAATGAGGATGCGATGCGAGTACAATATATGATAATTAGGAAGAACCCTTAGACATCCACCTCTCCAATATCTCTGCCTGACGCAATTCAAAGTATTGTCGTTGAACTGAATTGAGTGTTGAGAGATCCATCTTCATGATATCGTCATCTTGTTTCTTCTGTTTTAGCTCTATTTTTTGATTGGTAGTTTGCTTCATCCACGCGAAAGCCTCTCCCATGATGGACGTAGCGGATCCATAGTTTTCCACATTTTGTTTCCTCTTGAGCTTTGCCGCTTTCCTCCCTTCAGGCCTTAATAACACATCATCCGAGTCAGTGTTCAACTCGATGGGGGTCGCTGGCATGGAATTGTTTGGTGAGGAATCTGAAACAATACTAGACGGAAGTTCCATCTAAGTTTGTTAATCTAGACGAAAGATCAACGCTAGACGGAAATTCCGTCTAGGTTGGTCCTACAACTAGTACGAAATTTCCGTCTAGGTAAAGTCAATCCAAGACGGGAATTTCCGGTCTAGGTTGAGTGCTGTTGCTAGGTTGAGGCACTAGACGAGAATTTCCATCTAGGTTGCCTAGGGCAAATATAAACCGCTTCAAGCCGCCGCCCGCCTCCCACCTCAAGAATTCCATTTATTTCCACTTTCCCACTCCACTTCCCCTCCTCGACCCCGGCTTGCTGCGACCTCTACACAAGAGTTAAATTTAGAATAATCAAACATAATTAAACATATATATTCCTCTCTTCAATGCTATGTTGTTTACATAAAAACATATAAGTTAAATATTTACCTGGTCAATAATTCCCGTACCAGATCTTTGTCTTCCTTCAATCTGAGCAACGCACCCGCAGAACTTGTTGACGGACAGTTGAATCGTTGACCAACGATGCATCATTTGGTTTGGTGTGCGGCTCGTTAGATCGGTGCAGTATTGGATAAAGTAGTCGTTAGCTCTGTGCCAAAACTTATCTTTGTATTGCCCTGTACCTTGGATGGCGTCTTGGCTCGTGTTCAGCCAAGCAGACACAAGAAGCTTATCCTCATGGACAGTCCAATTTTCGGACCGCGTGTAAGCCTTCTTCTTCTTT